AAATTGTAGAGCTTCTCCTTTAAATTTTAGAGCTTCTCCTTTAAATTGTAGAGCTTCTGCTTTAAATTGTAGAGCTTCTCCTTTAAATTGTAGAGCTTCTCCCTTAAATTGTAGAGCTTCTTTAACTTTTAGAGTTTCTCCTTTAAATAGTAGAGCTTCTTTAAATTGATAATCTACACTATTTTCTCCCTAATATGGCGGCTTGAAAACATTGGTAGTTAATATGTCATTACTTTGAATTATTTTTATTGCTGATGATGGGAAAAGTCGTCATTGTTTTAACAAATATATTTTATTCCGGCCAATGTCAGCTGCGATATATCCCGTTTTTCGTTTTCTGATCGAAATTTAGTTCACATTGTACTTCCCGTTGTATCCTGATCATACTGTTTTATCCAGGATATTTTCTTTATATTGGAATGTTTTTAATTTTTATTTTCACACATGGTTGCGATCTTACATATTCTTGGACTGCTGATTGTAAATATCTAAAATATTTTGCTCTGTCACTTAAGGATTTTGAACAAAATACAAATTAATCACAGTAAAAAATGTGAGTTTTTAATAAATTGGTAATTTATTAAATTTACGCAAGTAATCATGGAAAAACACATTCTGTTAGTTTTAAGAACATGAATTCCAAATCAACATGAATCAAATCAAATGATTTTATTAAAAAAATATGTTCCTAATGGTTAGCCTACATATTGAATCAAAGGAAGGGAGACCGCTTTGATTTTCGCTTGTGCTGTGCATTGAGACCATTACGTTTCAATGACCAGCAGTAATCCACCATCATGCTGATATTCCATTTGCCCTGGTATCGAGTTTCCATGGTGCAAATATCCTGATAGAACCGCTCTCCTTGTTCCTCACTGTAGTCCCAACAATTGTTGGGAAAATAGTCAGAATGTGAGTGCAAAACGTGCATCTTCACACTCATTCTAGACCCAAGTTGTTGGAAACTTGAAATCAGGTTTTGGATCATTTCTTCATATTAGGGGGAGCGGCTGTTTCCCAGGAAGTTGTGGACAATCTGCTTGAATGAAAACCAGACATTCACCTCGACACCTGCTAATGCTTCATCAAAATGCTTGTCCTTCATCAATTCCGAACCTGAGGACCAACAAAGATTCCTGCCTTTAGCTTGTCTTCACTTATACCAGGAAACTTTGACTCCAGGTACTTGAAAGTAATTCTATTCTTGTTCAAGGCCTTCACAAAAAATTTTATAAGCCCTAATTTGATGTGGAGTGGCGGCAACAGAGTTTTTTGGGGGTCAACTAGTGGCACAGTTTTCACGTTGTGATTTCTGGGTAAGAAGCTGGTTCTTGGTGGCCAGTCTTTTTGTTCTTAGTGCTGGCTGTCTGCCCTACTATCCCAAAGACACAGAAAACAGGGATACTTGCTGTATACACTTTCTCATTTACTTATACGAAAAATGTAACGTTTCCACATAACTTGACAACCTGATGTGACAGAGATGAATAAAAAACACAATGAATCACTATTTTCCATATATACACCGAGAAAGATACCATAGTCGAAAAAATCATGGAGACCAGTGTGAGCAGCCATCGAGAGGAGGAGAAACTTTAGAAAAACTGTACGTATGCTGAAGGAGGAATAATAATAATAATAATAATAATAATAATAATAATAATAATAATAATAATAATAATAATAATAATAATAATAATAATAGGAAAAATGTATATGTTATGATTTCAGACCTTCGGTATCATATCCCAAGAGTGTTTATGGGGTTTTCAAGGATGGAATCTGATTCCATAACCTTGTATGAGCTCAGAGATGGTGCTTCTCCTCTTCAACTCTCATACTCTTCATGGTGATGCTTTATCTGTCATGGTAATGCTGAGAATTTCTCCTGACGGGAGTCTTAGTCATATGATGATCCATTCAGTCGAGCTTCTGGTCGTATGGTTGAGACCTTGCCCTGGCTTTGCAGTCCAATCTGTAAAAAAAATAGTAATGATCACATAAGATGTAGTGGCAGAAAAAAATAAAGAGGTACAATATCGTGACTGGACTGTGTGCGAGTTATTTGTGTAAATGATACGTTGTCCCACACCCGTTAAAAAGGCAGTGATAGACCTTAAAGTGTCTCAGGGATGTTCTTCGCTACCATCCTCGTGTTTAGTGTAGGGTTTACTGTTTATAAATTGTTTCTCAACTCGTTCTTATATTTGAGTAATGGTGACATTTGTAAATTTATTATCCTCGGCATCTGAACTTATATTGTTGGTGAGAATAAACAGGTATGACGTGTTTTTGTGAGGCTGCTTGTGTGTGTTGCACGCTGCTCCTGTTTGGTTGTTGCTTACGTGTGTTTACCTGTTTTCTCGTGTTTTGCTTTCTTTTGTTCTCTTTGGGGTGTTGCTTTCTCTTGCTTATTGGTGTTCTGTGAGAATACTAGAATACCACCTCTTACGGGTTGTATGTGACTGTCTGAGAGTGACTATAAACTAACCTTATTACTAGTGAACTTCTTGTGTTGACTTTTTCTTGGTTTTGATTTGCCAATTTTTGCTGTTTGTGTCACTTGATTGGTAGGTTATTAGTAATGTTCTAGGAGAAGTTTGTACTGTTTGCTTTGGGTTTGCTAGACCATCTTCCACTCTAAAGTGTTGATTGTACTTTGTATTTAAACTAAGTGTTATTATCCTCTGTCAGCTCAGTGTATATCCCAGCCTTGTGTTAAGGTATGCCACCAGCTCCCAGCATGTGACCTACAGGACTCGACTAATACTCAAATATCTGTTGGCTGCAGGATGAATAGGAACAGCAGGTGTAAAGAGGCATTGCAATGCCTCCTCGCCCAACAGGTGCTCAATCCCGGATCTCTTCATTTGTGAGCCGAGCGCTCTGCTTATAAAAGACAGATTTGAATCTTAGATCCCAGAGAGACCCACAGCCTTAAGTCGAACAACGCTGTAAGATTTTGTTAAGCTTGTGGGATGAGGAGGTTAATTATGAAAGACAGATTAGGTAACTTATAGTTTAAACATATTATTTTGGTCTAGCTCAAGAATTACGAAAAAAAGTGATGGGTAGATATTATGCAGTGTGCTGCATTTAAATTATTGTACAAATTTATATAAGAAATAACGCTCCATATGTCATTTTCCGGGTTTGTACTGAATCCGAACGCGTATTATTCCCTGTCGGTTAGTGTGGCCAGGACAGGAGTACATGAGGTATTTAGCTCAGTACATGACGGGTGGTGATGGGGTGAAGTCATCATGTTTGGGCGGTAGTCTGAGTAGGTAATTTTGGTAATTTTTTTTTTTAAACAAGATTATTCACTCAAAAAAAATAATTTGTTGGGTTGGAGAAAATGGTTCGATAGATGGGCGAGGAAGTGTCTTGCAAGTCATGCACGAAAGGAGATGATCAGTCAGTTGGAATCAAGTGTCCGCTTCTTTCTTGATTAAGAGAGTTTTTTTTTAATATATTCCTCGTTCTTCCTCTATGTAAGGAGTGGAGTTGGAAAGTTACCAAGACATAGCTGGACTGATGTAACAGCCAGTGACGAAGCTAACCGCCTCCTCAAGTGTTTCACCAATTTCATTTCTCTTGTGTATGAGACAGACCTTAGACAAGAGGAATGGCAATTCCCAAGTAACAGTAACTCCAGCTCTGGTGGTTAATACACTTAAAGCAGTGAAGTTTTTATTGGTACAGCGTTTCACTCACGAGAGGGCGAAACTTCCATATATACTGAATCCGTAGAGGTATGTTTGACGATACACCTTCCTGGTGTCACCCAGCTGCGCCTGACAGATTTCATCACTTGATGTTTGAGACCCATCCTGTGTGATGGAATATGACAGAGGAGTTAAGGTAGCCTTTCTTCCATTAGTTACATGATTCATTACCTTTGTAACTTGTGGCTTCATTACCTTTGTATCTAGTTCAGCTATTAAAACTTTGGGGTCCAGTCCCTGGACCCATTATGTACCTCTGTAATCTTTTGACTACTGCCCACAGGATGGGTATGGGGTGACTACCGCCCACAGGATGGGTATGGGGTGACTACCGCCCACAGGATGGGTATGGGGTGACTACCGCCCACAGGATGGGTATGGGGTGACTACCGCCCACAGGATGGGTATGGGGTGACTACCGCCCTCAGGATGGGTATGGGGTGACTACCGCCCACAGGATGGGTATGGGGTGACTACCGCCCACAGGATGGGTATGGGGTGACTACCGCCCACAGGATGGGTATGGGTGACTACCGCCCTCAGGATGGGTATGGGGTGACTACCGCCCACAGGATGGGTATGGGGTGACTACCGCCCACAGGATGGGTATGGGGTGACTACCGCCCACAGGATGGGTATGGGGTGACTACCGCCCACAGGATGGGTATGGGGTGACTACCGCCCTCAGGATGGGTATGGGGTGACTACCGCCCACAGGATAGGTATGGGGTGACTACCGCCCACAGGATGGGTATGGGGTGACTACCGCCCACAGGATGGGTATGGGGTGACTACCGCCCACAGGATGGGTATGGGGTGACTACCGCCCACAGGATAGGTATGGGGTGACTACCGCCCACAGGATGGGTATGGGGTGACTACCGCCCACAGGATGGGTATGGGGTGACTACCCCCACAGGATGGGTATGGGGTGACTACCGCCCACAGGATAGGTATGGGGTGACTACCGCCCACAGGATGGGTATGGGGTGACTACCGCCCACAGGATGGGTATGGGGTGACTACCCCCACAGGATAGGTATGGGGTGACTACCGCCCACAGGATAGGTATGGGGTGACTACCGCCCACAGGATGGGTATGGGGTGACTACCACCCACAGGATGGGTATGGGGTGCATAATAAACATATTAAACTAAAACTAGCCACTTGCTTACCAATGCTACAGTTTCCACCCCAATTAAAAACAAAAGACAATAATATTATACAGTTTCTGCACAGTAATTAGACAGAAGGATAATTACAACCACGTCACCAGCACTCTTGATTTTATTAATAATGATTCCAGGTGTGCCAGGCAGGTGCACACGCGCGATGCTCCACATTCCGTACTGCATCCAACCTCACCAATGCAGAATGAAATGACATAGCGAGACTGGGTCAGTGTCCGAGGGACGCCTTCCTGTCGTCGCCTAAGATACATCATATCAAGGAACCAGATACTGACTTAATCTCCAGGCTCGAGTGTTTCCTAGTGTTTTGGCAACGTTCTTGAGCACTGAGCTCTAAACCTTGTCCTTATAACTCGTAAGTTTAATTTCTAAACTTCTACTCCGGGTTATCTTTCCACTTGGAAATCATTAGTCAACTAAACTTGTTTCTATAACCCGTTTTATATATTTTTTGCTTATTAGTTATTAATAATTAACATAGACAAGATGCAGATCATTAAACAGTCGTAATACTGTTTAACAGTAAAATATTTACGTTGTTTTGCGAGACCCCCCAAGTGACAAGGTTGAGTAATTATTGTCTTAGATTAAAACAGTATAGTATGTTAATATTGTGTGTGAGAGAGAGAGAAAGAGGAAGGTGGATGGAGACGGTATGGGAGGTGTAGAATATACAGTGCAGGGAATAATTTACGATAAAAAATCTGTGTATCGTGTAGTAATGTGTTCTGGTGTGTGGAGGAATAAGCTAGTGTTTGCTGGACAATAATGTATCATGGGGAACCGTAGGATAGTGTTGAACAATAGTGAGGCTCTACGTTGTGTGTGGGGCTGTAAGTTAATGTATTTTGAACAGTTCAGTGCGTGTTTTCATTCATTAAATATATATCGATAATATTGCTAGGGTTATATCATCTTGTAATATGTCACAAATTATACCAAACAAAGACTTCATGCTTGTTTAATCATCAGACACAAACTTTATATTTATTTATTAACCTTTTAAGATAAATATATATAATTTAAATCTGACACAGCCTTCAAAAACACAAATTTCTTTGGAAACAGCATAAATAGTATTCAGATGCAGTCCGTAGGTAATGTAAAGTGTCAGCACTCAGTCTTATATAGTGGTCTCCACCTGCCTGGTCCCTCCCTGTTATATATATTTTCTTAGCATAAAGCAGGGAGGATTCTCAAGTTGATGCTTTGTGACTCAGCCGTTCTATGAGCCACAGGGATGGGCCTTTCAATACGCTTAGTGAATAAACCTAGAACACAAATGCCAAAATTGGTATATATCACAATGTGTGGAGGTTATCAGTCCTCATAAGTAAGTGTAGCAGCAGGTGATGAGACCGGGGATGCAGCAGCGTCAGAAAGGCTTGTGGAAGAGAGAAGAGAGATCGAGGATCTTGTGGTGTTGTGGGCTGGTTATGGAGGCATCACTGATCACTTGTGGGCACCTTCCTCACCGCCATCCACCATGGGTAGCGACTCATCTGGTCTGCTTCACCACCCATATCCGCAGAAGAGCGACCTCGCACCTCGCACGCCGCCACCCTTGACACCTCGCTCTGCAGGGAAGAAAATCTTAGAGGTTGCTTGATTCTGCAGGGAACAGGGAGGTTATGTCGATATGAGGTAAAGAAATGCGAATAATTACAAAGATCTGCAGGAAAAGATATAGAAGGTTTTCTCACTTTGAGCGAAAGAAATGTGTGAGGTTAATGTTCCACTTAATATAACGTTAAACGATCACCCATCACAAGACTCAAAGAGGGAAAATTAATTGGAATCCACCTTGACAGTAGCCTTAATTAAATTCCAGACACATATACAACAAATTTACAAGAAAATCTCTAAGACAGTAGGCATACTATCAAAGATACTGTACTATGTTCCACAATCAGCTCTCCTGGCACTGTATCATTCACTCATCTACCCTTATCTCACATATGGAATTTGTGCATAGGGATCAACAACATTAAATCACCTAAAACCACTAATAACCTAGCAAAAGGCAGCAGTCAGAATGATAACAAATTCCCAGTCCAGACATCATACTCCACCAATATTCAGAAGTCTAAATCTGCTCACCATGAACAACATCCATTCTTATTCATGTACCTACTACATACATAGAACACCACACTCAAATATAAACTCTCCACTCAAACTTCTCCTCACCAACCTTAACAGGACACACGACCATAACACAAGACACAGTTCACTTTTTGATATACCTCGTGTCCATATCACACTGTGTAAAAACTCTATGCACATAAAGGGCCCCAAAATTTGGAATTCATTACCAGAAAATACTAAAGTAACCCAGTCTGAAAATCAATTTAAGACTTTCCTCAAAAGCCACTTACTCATCCTAGACTAAATACTCAATACTCAATATTTAACTTTACCAAAGAATTTCCCAATTACTTAAATCTTAAAACTTCAAGACTAGACGCCCTAGTTCATACACTGACTAATACTACATAGTAGTATAAATACCTACCCGAAACGGTGCTGCCCTACACCCAGTTGTAGCATTCTCATACTGCAAACTACTTTTAGCAAATCACAATTTTATATTCCCATAATATAATTTCAATACCTACTGTTGAACCTATTGTCCATTGACGACAGGAATATAATTGAATCATGTTTCATAAAAAGCAGTTTTGAAAGTAATATAAATATATCCTTTGGTTTATATAAATTAGATTCATTTATAATTAATAGAACTATTGTACAACTTAAACTACGATAAATTTCTTTAGGATTAAGTAGTCAGTAAGCCATTAATTAAGTCTACCCATAATACCTAGGCATGATAGTGGCTCTCTTTGCACTACAACTCATTATTGTAAATACATAGTCTCAATGAACTATTTGCAAAGAAATAAAATTTGATTTGATTTGATATGATTTGATAGAATGAAGAGTTTAAGTGGTATACAGCGTAGACGATATGAAAAATGATGCTAAAATATAAAATAACAAAAGACTGATAAAGTTAGTATACTCTTGCTTTATTCGTTAGGAAAGAGGACAAGTATTTTCTGACACAAGTCGTAATCCTAAGATGGCCCGTTACTGTATATACGTTAGTATGGATACCATCCTATGTTAACATAAGAGAGACTGAGAAAGAGTCAGTGATATGACAGGAACCCAACAACAGGAAACACACTAGAAGTCTGGAAAAATATTTCAGTAGATTACAAGAAAAATGAAAATTCAAACTCTCGAGGAAGAATTCAGCGAAGGAAGTACATTAGTAAATGATGAAGCTGCAGAATATTACAGTAAAGTTGCATCAAATGAAACGTTTATGTTAAGAAATATGGAAACACAAGAAACGTTGGTGGTAAAGATTAGTTTAAGTTTATCTGTATACGATGAATTAGACACCTGTGCAACACTTGGGTAAGTTTATTGTGGAAACTATTTCGCCAACCAGTGGCTTCCTCAGCCCAGTACAGAGAAGGATGGTTGAAGATCAGAAGGAGTTTGGGATAATCAGTCCCCCAGGTTGAGGCCACAATAAAAATACCCAAGTGTTATATAAATGTCTAATTCATCATCCTATCACTTCTCTGAACTATTTGTCTACATACGTGTATATGCCAGGTTGGTATAGCTACACCAGGAGAGAAAACATTGTGTAAAGTCTATATGGACAGAAAGGTAAAGACTCTTCGGCACTTTAATTTAGTCTGCTACACTTTAGCCATATATAATTATTACCACTAACAGTTGTAAACAATGTAAGGAGGTTATAACTTAAACTGGTAGTATCTGACATAAATCTGCAGGATCTGCTGCAGTTATATAAAGATAATTGTAAAGGTAATCCCTTCAAGTGAGGTTTCTTGATCTAAGGAATTGGACTTTTCCTCTTTTCCTTGGATCGAACCTGATTGCCTCACATTCCCCAAGGTACTGTATGATGCCTATGGTTTCAGAGCTACCTCTAAATATAACAATAATAAATGTAAAGATAGCAATTCCTGTACAGTGTCAATGTAAAGTAGCCACATTCAATAATTTTAAGCCTGTCTACGACGATTTTATTCTCACTGGAGGTGCGTCGACTTTTTCCTCAAATCCTATTGAGAGACGCCAACTTTAACGAGTCTGAATTCTAGATTACGTTGAAACAGCGTGCCGAGAGCGTAGCAGCAAACTCGGGTTTCATGATGCAGTAGATCTAGAAAGAGAAAATTCCCCTGTGTGAGCGGCTCACAGCTTGCATAATTCAGGACTTTTACCAGAGATGTACAGAGTCAGATGATAGTGTCAAGCCTCGTGCAGTCTGTGTTGTCACTGCTTCGGGACAACACTGTCAGGGTCAGATGACAGTGTCAGGTCTCGTGCAGTCTGTGTTGTCACTGCCTCTGGACAACACTGTCAGAGTCAGATGATAGTGTCAGGCCTCGTGAAGTCTGTGTTGTTACTGCCTCGGGACAACACTCAGAGTCAGAGAACCGAGGGAAGGTGGCAGGGAGCCTCACCTCAATGATCTTGGCGAGGAGGTTGGAGATGTAGTTCATGTCGAGGCTACAATCAGGGTTGAGGCCCAGATCGTTAAGATCTCCTGCTGGAGTCTCCGCCAGGAGCGAGGGTGCTCCAACCGCTACAGGAGACGAAGACCGCTTGCCCATAGAGCCTCCGGCTCCCCAGCCACGGTTCCAGTGGATCTGGGAGGAAGTGGAAAGAGGTGTGAGAGGAACATTAGACCGAGAGAAATTATGCTGTGGGGAAAGAGAGAAAGAAACTGTGAGGGGAGAAAATTGGCTTTCCTATGTTTTCGGATGACCAGATGAAACAAGTAATTTGCACTACAATTTTAAAAAACAATTTTTCTGTTTTGGGGTTTCGATAAAGTCACGTTGCCGACATTTTTCCACAATAAAGGACCTAGGGGATCTCAGGATCCATTCAACTCCTTCATTTTTTTTAACAGTTCTGAGTGCGTCTGTCGGCGCTCAGCGCAGATATAAAAAAAAACGGTAAATTGGACGCTAGAGGTTTTAAATGTGGGTTTCTAGCCATATTATTGCTCATACGTTAACTGTGAAACAAACATTTTTTAAACTTTTTAGGTGTTTGGGAATTTATTTTACAAGGGGAGATTGCAAAGTTATTTCTTTCTGGGACGGGTTTTTTCCAGGTTTAAATTTCTCCGCTTCCGAAAGTTTGTAAAGTTTAAATTTTCCCCTCTTCTCAAGGCTGAAATAGATACGGACTGGCGCGTTCACCGCGTCGACATAAAATTTGCTTTTTTACCGGGGACCTGAGTCGGGCTTCCCCGGTAACCATCTAAAGAGCTACATCGATCGGGCGGCCCCGCAGGATCACAAAACACACAGCCTGCGATCCATCACCGGGAACACATTTACGAGTTTTTCCCCTCAAGACACAGTTTACAAAATTTTTTTTTTAAATTATAGGGTTTTCCTTTTGTGAACCAAAGTTTTTGGATTCGGACTGATACAGTTTTTTTAAGTTTTGGGACTGGTTGAACATTTTTTTTTTTTAAGTTTTGGGCCCCTATGTTGAACATTTTTTTTTTAAGTTTTTGACTCGTGATGTGATACAGTGTAATCAAAGTCTGGTTCGTGATGTTTTTACGTGTTTTTTAAGTCTTGGACCTGGTTGATACGTTTTCTTTAAGTTTTGGACCTGTTTGATACAGTGTTCCTTAAGTCTTGGGCCCATGTTATACAGTTTTTTAAAAACTTTTGACCTGTTTGATACAGTTTTTTAAGTCTTTGACTCGTATGTTGATACGTGAATCAAAGTTTGGTTTCGTGATGTTGAACATGTTTTTTAAATTTGTTAGGTACCAAATTTTCTGCTTAGATACCCTCCGCCAGCATCTTTCCACAAATACCCGCAAATTTAGTTTAACAGTAATTAAAACCTGACATTGAAAGTTTTTCATGGGCTTTAAAAAATATTTCTGTTACACATTATCACTCAATTTTTTATCGATTTCTTTTTCATTCTTACTTCGTAAATAATGTTTTAATAAAAAATATTTAGGATTTTAGTGAATGAAATTTTTTTTGAGTTGCTAAAACCCCCAAAGGGAAAATACAATGTAAATAGTACTTTTTTCCCTGACTTCCCCGGTTTTCCAAAAGAATGCCTTCAAAGGGAGAGGGGGCAGCTTTTTCACTTTTGGCACCTCCAAGTGCTGTTTTTTGGACCCCACCGGGGACTCTAAGCGCTTTTCCCACCTTCCTTTTCCCAGCAACATTACCTTTCCCCTCTCCCGGATATTCAGGGTACCTCTTAACCTGGGGGAGAAGTAACAGCTCTCTCTTAAGTAATAATTTTTGGTGGGTTTTCAGAGTTTTCTCTAGTTTTTCCCATTCCTTCTCTCTCTCTCCTCTCTCTCTCTCTCTCTCTCTCCCCCTCTCTCTCTCCCTCTCTCTCTTCCCTCCCCTCTCTCTCCTCTCTTCCCCTCTCTTTTTTTTTTTTTTTTTTTTTTTTTTTTTTTTTTTTTTTACACAGGGGTTTTGAAAAGGTTTAAGGATCCCTACTTATTGACAAGCTATTTACAGTTAAGGATTCCTAACTTTATGCAAGCTAAGAGCTTTTACCAACATACTCATTTGAAACATTTTTATTTTTATGAGACATACAAGTAGGGAACGGGGATGAATTTGGGAGCCACTGGGGCCAGCATTTTCTTTTGATCAACTGACGTTACTCGTTGACACATTATCTGTCGAATTGCCATACCGAGTCATCCGGGATGTATGATCTCAGATGGGGTGATGTTCTGGGAAGGTAAAAGCCCAAATGAATTCTGCTTTCCCCGTCTTGTGGCATAAAAGCTTGTTCCGCTGTCCTCGAAAGGGGTCCAAGGGTGGTATTTTGACAATATTTGGGCCCTTGTACAAAACTTAAAACCACCCCCATCCCTCCTTTTGAAGCTCGCTGAAAGACAGACCATCCAATGGGTCCAGGGGAGAGAGAGACGTCTTGCCTGTTTTCTACTCTGTCAAGCAGTCGCAGAGAGAGGGGGGACAGGGAAAAAACCCAAAAAAGGGAGCAACTCAAGGTGTGAGCGACTTTTCCTCGACAGTACTTGCAACCCCTACTGTCAACAGATCGAGATACGGCAAAAGCTGTAAGCTTCCCGGCTGCCTTGTTGAAGATTTTCAACATGGTCTTCATGGTTTGTTTGGAGTCAAATTTTACCCCAAGGGTATCAAATTTTTCTCCAGGTGCCAACATCCCCCATTCACCTTTCTATGCACCCGCATTACCATCATGGTCCAGAACGATCACATTTGGGGTTTTCTCGGGGGCAAATGTTCTTTCCATCTATTTCCCCCAAACATATACTCTCACTGGGATTATGTAGCTTAAGCAAGGGGATTTCTCTCTTGGATAAGTGAATGTCATGACAGTCTCTGCATATGCATGTGATTCTTTGGGGTAGAAAAAAGGTGTTGAAGTAGACTTTCCCCTAACGTGGCCCAGCACACTTCCTTTTGGAACGCTTGCCCCAAAAGGAAGTCTTGCTGATTTTCCCTTTTCCCTTAGGGGCTACACTTAGAGATCTACCATGAAGGTAACACTGAGGAGACAACGTAGAGCCGCAAATTTCCCTGCTTGAAATTTTGCTAAAAGGCCCTTGCCACACCCGTCGAAAACGCCACAATGCCGTGCACCACACAGCGGGCTTTTGGGTTCATCCATACTGGGGCCACTTATGGAAGGTTTTTAAAAACAAACACAGCAGATAACCTTTTTTGAAGCCCTATGACGTCACAAAGAGTGAGTGGTAGTCAAAAAAAAAACTGTCATTTGCTTGAATATTGTCTCAAGGACTTACCAGTGATTGAAGGGGTGAACGGGCTGTAGTTGCGATTTCGCCGCTCTCTTTTTGTGAAAAGGGACTACATTTGCCTCTTTCCCCTGGAGAGGGCCCTTTGCACTGTACTAGGGAGTGCTAAAGATGCAGTTAAGGTGCGCAGCTGGTCCCGCAACTTCTCAACAATCTTGGGGTCAAATTGTCTGGGGCCCCACCTTTTTCCCTTTGGGCCCAAATATTTAAAAGGGAAAAGCACCTCCTCCTGCCTTTTGTCACCCTGACATTTTTTACACGTTTTGCAGCTAGCCAAGGGGGGCCCTTTCTGGGTCAGGGGAAATTTCATTTTTGGGGCAAAGTGTCACAAAGAGGCCCTTTCTCTTGCAAATAGTAGAGGGGCCCATCCTGTCGATTTAGAGGTGGAATAATTTTATCAGGGAATAACCTTTTCTGTCCGACCCGGACCACCAGGTTTTGGGGCCTACCCTACCGAGCAAAATTTTTTTAGTGCCAAATCCATTTAGCAATGGCCCCACTTTTGAACATCACCCATATGCCTACAGGCTTGCATGTGCAAGTTCCTGTTATAGGTGGTAGGATGTCTCTTATACCTTCGCCATGCTTTGTACTTAGCAGTAGCAGCCTCTCTACAACGAAAGCCAAACCAAGGCTGATCTGTAGGCTTTGTCACATATTGCCGGTGAGGAATGTGTTCTTGTTGCAGATTAAGGATGTGTCCAGTGAAGGCTTTCACTTGGTTGTCAACATCCCCCTGGAGAAGAGCATTCCAGTCGGTGGTGGCGAGCTCAGAGCAAAGGGCTGGCCAATTACCTCTTTCCCATAGCCAGGTTGTGCGTGTGGACTCCTCACCTCGTTCTGTTGGGATCTCTCTCTCTCTCTCTCTCTCTCTCTCTCTCTCTCTCTCTCTCTCTCTCTCTCTCTCTCTCTCTCCCTCTATATTCTACCTCCCACGTCCCCAACCCCCCATTCCCAGCCTCCTTCATTCTCACCCCCACCTGTTAAATAAAAATAAATAAAAATCTCACCCCAGCGCCACTTTCCCTTCACACTTAATATTTATACTGCCTTGCTGAACCATCCCTCCGGCAATAACTTTAATATTTTCATGGACCTCGATGATGCAGTCATGAAAAATCTCAGACGATCATCGTCACAACAGCCAGTCTTCCACAACACGTGGGAGATCAGTGGGTTAGGAAAGGGCAGAGTCAGCGGTCGTTGAGATGAATGTGTGGCGCTAGCCAGGTCAACCCACATACACCTCCGGTATGTAGGCATCGTAATTGCTTTTATAAGACACCATGTGAGCAGGACGTGAAGGAAGAACACACGCGTAGTGTTGCGTGATGTCTCGACGTACGTGCATGCTTTTATACGTCATTTAACGACGTTTCCATGACTTTTCATATCACTCTCAATATATAAATCTGACAATGTTTTTAATCAGCTGAACTGCAGACGTAATTAAAGGATCATTAAGAGCATAGTAAGAATTACTGCCACTGCTGGACCATCGAGACATGATTTCTGACGTGCAGGAAGGAACTTGAAGACGCAGACATAATCTGCACACACTGTGATATTATACAAAATGTTTACAGACGGAATAAGTGGAAATGTGAAAAAATGACTTCTGCTTCCTTGTAAATTTCTTATCAAGGTTCAATCAGAGGTTTCTTCGGCGATGATTACTGTAGTAATCTGTTATATTTAATCTCTAAAGTAGATTTTAAGGTTAGCTCTCATTGTATGCACACTAAGAGTTACACACCGTGCATTGTGTGTGTGTGTTTCACCTATTTGCAGGGGTCGAGACATAGCTCCTGGCCCTGTATCTTCACTGATCGCTACTAGGTCCTCTCTCTCCCTGCTCTATGAGCTTTATCATACCTCGTCTTAAAACTATGTATGGTTCCTGCCTCCACTACCTCAGTTTCCAGACTGTTCCACTTCCTGACAACTCTGTGGCTAAAGAAATACTTCTTAACATCTCTTTGACTTATCTGAGTCTTCAACTTCCAATGGTGACCCCTTGTTTCTGTGTCCCCTCTCTTGAACATCCTGCCTCTGTCCACCTTATGTAAGTATTTGTATATGCCAGCGTGCCATTTGTACGCACTTGCGTGACTGTCCACTTTACAAGGTCATTATAAAGCCCTTAGTCACCTGGGCACCACAACACAAGGTAATTTAACTCCTACAATAGGAATTAAAGTAAATTTTCACTGAATATACTGTAAGGCAGTGGTTCCCAAACTTTTTCAGCTTGTTACCCAATTTAACATGCCACATAAAGCATGTTACCCCTTTCACAAAATGTTGTTATTATTGATATATATGGCTAAACGTAAACGTATACAGCCTCGCATACTCTGCTAATCCTAGCAAAACCATTGAAAACGTAAGAACCACACATACATTATATATATAAAATTAATAATAGCTACAAATTCACAGTAACAGTGGGTAAATACTAACTATATACTGCACAGGGCAGTACACATACATACCAGCTTATGTCTACCTCGGCTGATGCTCACAGATAAACTGACAGTGTGAAATAGAGACAGCCTCAGGAAGTGAGTGACGCGTACTGGACAGGTCGATCTGGGCTACTGAGTGACTTTTGTCCTGAAGCATACTTGTCAAAATACTTTTGGGTTTCCACACACTTAGCTATATATTTCTTCTTTTCTAATACTGTATATTAGTTTTTGATGTTTATTGTTATTTGGTTTAACTTTATTACTTACTTATAATAGGTTTACTTTACAACTTTATATACTAAGACAAAGTTAACAATAATCCTCATACCGGGTACCGCATTGTTTTCTTGATTTTCAGAATTCATAACTTTTTTTCTGTCACCCCTCCATTACCCCCCAAAAATGGTTAAATTACCCCCAGGGGGTAATTTACCCCCAGTTTGGGAACCACTGCTCTAAGGGATACAACCCTCATTGTATACACATTGATAGACGACTGTTTATAACCTGAACACCACCCTTAGGGATACTTAATCCCCTTAATAAAGGGGGAGGGGATTAAGGTAAGCTCTGAGTGTATATACACTGAAATATACATCTCTCGATGCATGTAACCTTGTGTCTTCTGAGAAGCAAACATAAATATGGCAAAAAAAAAATTGTTGTGCATATTGTGCTTGTAAAATAAATATTAAAATTGTTGGCTCTAACCCAGGAAGATAAAGGTTAGACATATTTCATTCTCGTTAACACAACAAAGCTGCCTTGTTTATCATTAAATGTTTAATGGTTATTATTAAGTGTAAACTTTCAGTCAGTGTGCGCTGAGTTATGTATATACAAAAGATAAATCTCTGCATATATACAATGAGATAATTATTTTATTGTATATACCATTGAGATCGCCCGTGGTCAACCACGTCGTAATTTGCTGACTGTCAAGGTGATGTCATAAGTCACATGTGTGATGACACAGGATCTAACACGCTAAAGTAGATATCATCAA